CCCGCCACAACACCCGGCTATTTTTTGGTTGCAGCCATCATTATTGTTTGACGGCCCGGGCTGGATTCAAACCCGCCACCTTAGGTGTATGTGGCTGGCGCCTTAGCCTCTTGAGCCACAGGTGCCGAGCCCTCTCATCTATTCTTTAAGAGCCCCATGGCAAGGTACCGTGGCTGACACTACCTCGCACTCTGGGAAGCTGAAGTGGGAAGCATCCTTTGAGCTCAGGAGTTCAAGACCAGCTTCAGCAAAAGCAAGACCCTGTTTCTACAAACAATAGAAAAATTAGCTGGCCATTGTGGTGGGCACCTGTAGTCCCAGCTACTCTGGAGGCTGAGGCAGGAAGATCTCTTGAGCCCAGGAGTGTGAGGTTGCTGTGAGCTATGATGATGCCACTGCACTCTAGCTTGAGCAACAGACCAAGGCCTTGTCTCAAAAGGAAAAAAAATAATAATCCTCTCCAATAAAAATCATCTTCTTTTCAATCAATTCTGCTTTTGCTTAACCTTAGCACTTTGCACTGCATTTAAATCCATTTCCTCTCATTCTGCCCTCGATAGAGATAAAGGGCTAATTAGCAACCTCTGTATGGTGGACCTGAAAACCAGCATTAAAATAACCCCTCGCATTCTTTTCCTTATGTTGAACAACCCCATCTCCTTTCATCCCTGTCTCCCAGGTTTCGCTTTCCAGCCCTGTAAGCAGCGGAGACACTGAGTACAGTGGAGAATGGCTGCTGGTTGCCGTGGCTGCGCACCTGCTCGCGGGTTGCAGGATTGCAACGCCTTCTGCTTGAACTTCCCCTTTGTGCTATTCCAAGTGATTCCTTTGGCCTCTGACGGTTACATACCGCTTGCTTTGGAACACCAGGACCCATGACTAACTCATACGTGCTTCTTGTTATCTGCTGGGCTTCCTGAGCCCTCTGTCCACCCTGCAGCCTGGGAGTTCCTTCACCTTTTATCATACATTGGTTTTTCTGCCTTTTCTCCTAAGTCATCATTCCGGTTCTGGCCCCTGTTAGGTTCATCCTGTGCATGGCTTACTTTTCTCACTTCCTTCTGCCAAAGTGAAAGGTCTTCAGAGTTTGAGAGTCCACAACAACATAGGGTAGCTTTATATTTACATAATCTAAATTGGTTTTTTTTTCTCTCTCTCTGTCTACTAAGATGCTGGATTTGAGATTCCAAACTTATTTGTTGTGGGATATGCCTTAGATTACAACGAATACTTCAGAGATCTCAATGTAAGTCTTGCATGCAACCCCCTAACCTCCTTTTCGTAAGAACTTAATAGTAACTTACCAATTTAACAAATTATTGGCTGGGTTCAGTGGCTCATGCCTGTGATACTAGCACTTTGGGAGGCCGAGGTGGGTGGATTGCTGGAACTCAGGAGTTTGAAACCAGTCAGAGCAAGAGTGAGACCCTGTCTCTACCAAAAATAGAAAAATCAGCTAGATGTTGTGGCAGGCCCCTGCAGTCCCAGCTACTTGGGAGGCTGAGGCAAGAGAATCACCTAAGCACAAGAGCTGGAGGCTGCTGTGAGCTGTGACACCATGGCACTCTACCTAGGGTGACAAAGTGAGACTCTGTCCCCCCCCCCAAAAAAAAGAGTTCATGTTGTATTTACCACTATAAACTGAAATAGTTGTCATTTTACCGGTAGGAGACTTCTATTTCCATCAGGACTACAAGTCCTGCTTCCTCAGCATTTCTGGTTTTTAAGGACTTTAGGAGCCAGGTTCAAAACAGGGCTCAAAACTAAAGCAACAAAGAATCGTTTTGTTACGCATCCAAATGGGTCTATTTAGATTTTATGTGTACCTGTAAATACACACACATATTGGTCAACATAAGGAACTAGGCCTTATGATAGGAACTAGGAATGTCTTGATATGTTTCTGTGGTGCATGTCCGATCTATGAATATTAGGTCAATTTAAGTGGGTGATCAGTGTAGGGAGGTGGTCAACTACAGAGAATAACCAGTTACAGGCTGGCGTCCTGTTATAATTCCATCACATTGTCTGTGCTTCATATTTTGTTAAGAAACTGATACCTTTAAACCTTTTATGATTTCAGCACATATGCGTGATCAACGAACACGGTAAAGAAAAATACCGAGTCTAAAGACAGAAACTCTTACCATACAATTCCCAGACACCACCATTCGGAGGATGACGCTCAGGAAGCCAGTGGCAAAGTGGGTCTCTCCGGGCGTCTTCCCTCAGCAGGACATAAAAGAAAAATTGTTTTAATGAGAGCAGTTTCTTTTCTGAGATTATAGTAGAAAGAGTACCAAAGGTTCTTAAGGAAGAGAAAGCAATGCCTTTATCTGACTTGCTCCAAATTCAACACTCCGCCTTATGACTCAGCCGTGCTATCTGCTGTCACAGGCCTGAGCTGTATACACCTTCCTTTGTTGTGATACAGTCATTAAGCTTGATTACGATGCCCAGGATACCCCCACCTAGTTACTCAAATATTTTTCCCTTTTTTTTAAATCACTCTATTTTGGTAATATTCCATAGTATTAAAACCCTGGAAATCTTTTAATTGAATCCCTGATCCCTATATATTTTTGGTAGGTTCCTGTACTGAGAAAATAAAAAGGGGAGTGAGGACAATTTAATATAAATTTTTGTTTGTGCATTTCTGACAGGCCATTATTATCTGCTTTGACAAAGCCTTTCTGAAACGCAGTGTACAATGAATCTTAATGATGTTATGACATGAGCCTTTGCTTTAGCAGTCTTGATTTGAGCTTCCGGTATGTGATGGCGCTATGGCATGTGTGCATGGATGTACTCGACTGTGTTTAATACTCTGAATTTTAATTAGGAAAAACACAATGGCAGCAAGGCTCCAGTTTCTAAGCGGCATCCTTTTATTCATGTGGGACATGAACAAATGGCAGTGGTGGGGGCGGGGGGGGGAGTTTCAGAGCTCAAAACTAAGCAAGTCTAAATCTGTCCTTTTCTTTGCATTAAAGGACAAGACGTGGTTATGCCCTGTCCAAAACATGAAAACAGAGATGGATTTATTTTTTAAGTATCCTTATAAGACTGATCACAAAATCCCAGGTGCTATAAAGAAACAAGCACATTTCAGAAAGTTTTTCCTGAATAACAGTTTTTTTTTCCATTTTTACTGTTTTATGAGACGTTTACTAATTTATGGGGATTTCAATGGAAAATAAACTTGAGTGCCAATAGAGCTGTTTTTTCTCACTTCCTAAACAAAGTAAATGCAGGATAAATAACTAAGCAGTCTTTGTTTCTGAACCATATGTGGCATATTGTGATTAGATTCCAGCTTCCTTTGGACTAATAAAGAGTAAGAAAACTTGTTATGTTTTTTGAACTGCTTACTGCTTTTCTTCCGTTTGCATATTTTTTATATGTTTTCAGCCGTTAAAATGTACGCAAGCCAACAGCTTAAATACACCACCTCATATAGGCATCCTGTGGCTCTATTTTTGTCAACCTGGATTAAATCCAACATATGCACTAGTATAAGCAAACGATTAAGCCTGACCAGATCTGAGGTTTGTTTTGTTTTTTTCTCCTTAACCTTGTTTGTAAGAACAAGGAATTTTAGTTGTCAAAGATTTTCCTGCACATTGTTGTTTTAGTTAGAGAAGAAAACAAACCCCACCCAGATATCCCCAGGGGTAAACCAGTAAAGGGAATCCTTTTTCGCTTTGTTTTATAGAAGAATTGGTTACCCGGGTTATAGATTTACCATTCTGTGCAACGGGCCCGTTTCTTAAAATATCAAAATGAATATTCTTAGCGTAGTTTTCCACAATGCCACGTCTATATCAGAGGAGCTAGAAAAATCCAGGCACCTTTTTGATTTTAAACATGAAATGATCCATAAAGTATATAGCATTGAAATGTGTTTAAAATGCTGAATTTTGGGCAGTGCCTGTGGCTCAAAGGAGTAGGGCACTGGCCCCATATACCAGAGGTGGTGGGTTCAAACCCAGCCCCAGCCAAAAACTGCAAAAAAAAAAAAAAAAAAAAGCTGAATTTTGGTAAGTATCAGCATCATTTTTTTCCCTTATTTTGGGTAAAAACTCACAGTAATTTTGTGGGGCTGTAATTAAGATTTAACAGCATTATAATTCTAATGAATAAGTTAAATATCCTCTTGAGATAAATATAATAATATTTTACAGATACTTTGGAACCCCAGTATTAAGACTGCAAATACATACTAGCCTACATCTATACCTACATCTATCATACTGTTTCTTTCTAATGAATTGACCATTACATTTCCAAAAATCTAGTCTATATAATACCCCTGAGTTTATTTACTCTAAACCAAACCTGTAAAAGCATTACTATCTGATTAACAACAAATCCATTATCAATTTAGTATTCTAAAGCTGATTACTGGAGGGGTAAAAGTGTGAGAGTGTGTGTGTATTTCCTTCCGGATTTTGTATTCCTTTATAATCAACATAACTAGTAATATTTTATGATTTTTCAAGCAAATTAGAACCCCTTATTATCGGGCGGCACCTGTGGCTCAGTGAATAGGGCACCAGCCCCATATACCGAGAGTAGCCTATTCGAACACGGTCCCAGCCAAACTGCACCAAAAAATAGCCAGGCATTGTGGCGGGTACCTGTAGTCCCAGCTACTTGGGAGGCTGAGGCAAGAGAATCGCCTAAGCTCAAGAGCTGGAGGTTGCTGTGAGCGGTGACACCACGGCACTCTGCCGAGGGCAATAAAGTGAGACTCTTGTCTCTAAAAAAAAAAAAAAAAGAACCCCTTATTATAAATTTTGAAATGCAAATTAAAATCCCAATGATATACCTCCTTACCTCTGTCAGAAAGGCCGTTATTAAAAAGTCAAAAGAAAAAATAAATGTTGGCATAGATGCAGTTGAAAGGGAAAGGGAATGCTTATACACTGTTGGGGCAATGCAAATTAGTAGCACTTCTCTGGAAAACAGTATGGAAATTCCTCAAAGAAGTGAAAGTTAGACCTACCACTTGACCCAGCAATCTCACAATGGGGTATCTGCCCAAAGGAAAAATAAGTCATTATATTAAAAAGACACTTGTGCAATTGCTGGGAGGAGGCAGGGCATTTGGTGGGATCTTGCCTAATATGCACAATGTAAAGGTCCGTTTCAAAATAACTAAAAGTACATTAGAAATAAGTAAGTGAGGTGATGGTTATGTTAACCATTTTGATTTAAGCATTCCACATTGTATATCAAATCATCACATTATGCCCCACAAATGTATACAGGTATGATTTAATCAAAAATTTTAAAAAGACTTTTAAACCAATGAAAATAATAATAAAAAGAAAACTTGAGGGAAAAAGGCACTTGCATTTATGTGATTATTGCAGCACAGTCGACAACTGAAGATATGGAATCAACCTAAGTGCCCATCAACAATGAGTACATAAAAAAAATGTGTGTAGGCTTGGCGCCTGTGGCTCAGGCGGCTGGGGCGCCAGCCACATACACCTAAGGTGGCGGGTTCAAATCCCCAGCCCGGGCCCGCCAAACAACAATAATGGCTGCAACCAAAAAATAGCCGGGCGTTGTGGCGGGCGCCTGTAATCCCAGCTACTTGGGAGGCTGAGGCAGGAGACTCGCTTGAGCCCAGGAGTTGGAGGTTGCTGTGAGCAGTGAAGCCATGGCACTCTACCCAGGGGCTCGGCTTGAGGCTGTGTCTCAAAAAAAAAAAAAAGAAAGAAAATGTGTGTAGATGCCGATACACACACCATGGAGGACTCACTCGGACATAGGAAAAGAATGGATTCTTGTCTTTTGCAGCAACTTGGATGAAACTGGAGCCCATTATCCTAAGTGAAATATCTCAGGTATGGAAAACCAAATACTACGTATTCTTACGTGTAAGTGCTAAGCAAGGGGTATGCACGGTCACAAAGTAATATAATGGACATTGGAGACTCAGAAGGGGGAATGGGGAGGGGGGGAGAGAATGAATGATGAAAATTACCTATTGGCAGTATGGGAAGTCAAGATAGGTGGATTGCCTGACCTCAGAAGTAGGAGACTAGCGTGAGCCAAGTGAGACCCTGTCTCTAAAAACAGGCAGGCATTGTATGAGCGCCTATAGTTCTAACTACTTGGGAGGCTGAGGCAAGAGGATCACTTAAATAGAAAGCAAAAAATACCTATACAATGCATACTATTCAGGTTCCTGGGTACACTAAAAGACCAGACTTCACCACTACACAATTCATCCAGGTAACCAGAAATCATCTTTACCCACTAAATCTAGTGAAATAAATTTTTTTAAATCAATTGGTCCTTTCTTACATGAACTGGAATGTACCATGCGTTGAACCATGTACCCACAAATGTGAATTACAAATAGTCAAATCCCAATGTACCTTGTTTAATTTTTGATATAAAAACAGTTTGTCATGGTCCAGGCCCTCTGAGACTATGACAACAGCCTTTCAGAGCAGGCAGGCAATTTGCTCAACCTGCTGGTGTTTTCCCAATGGAGAGAAAAAGCAACCTGTCCCACATCTGGTATCATGGAGATAGGTCCTCCCAGTTGCAATACAGGTAGTCCGTTGTAGGAAATTGAAACCCTAAACCACGCTCTCCACACAGTGGTCTGGTTAATTTGGGCAAAACAAGATGGCGCTTAAGGGCTGGCAGAGAGACTGGTGTCAGGAAGGTATGAAGGGGATCCCCAAAGGAACATTTGCACGCAGAAGCACAAAGGCGTGCAGAGCCAGGAAAAGGGTATGCACGGACAGTTGTGGTGCCAAAAGAAGCGAGAAAGCAGCTCCTAGCTGGGACTCCAAGAATGTAGCCGTTCCGAGCATGCTAGCCTAGAAAGGGTCTCTACTCCCAGGGCGCATCACACAATGCCACCATCCAGAAGCTTCATGGGCCACAGACATCTGCAAGGAGACCAAAGCCCACATGAGAGGAAAACTGATGGACATCAAGAAAGCTCAGAGCACCCCAGAAGCGCAGCTGCCACCTAGGGTTGTGCAGCCAGCCCTGCTGGTGCCCTGCGCAAGGACAATGGCCAAGGGAAGCCCACACTGCACTGGCCAAGCCGTAGACCCAGCTGACAGCTATATTCACCCTCAAGAAAGAGTACCTTTTCCTAAAATGGGTGTCTTTTTCTAGCTAACTCCAAAAAGGTTGTTTTTTGCAATTTCTTAACCAGGAGGGGGCAGCTTTTTCTGCCAGGGCAGGTGTCCTCCACCTGTGGGTCACGACCCATGGGAACTCTATTAAAGGGCCACGGCATTAGGAAGGTTGAGAACCACTGTGCCAGGGAAAAGATTTTTCCAGAAATAAGTAGGGAAAACATGAAGACAGGTTGGGGTACTGAAATCCTACATTTCCCAAGTGGGAGAAATAATCATGAACTAACAATACCGGGCCCTCCCTTGTATCCAGAACCTGGTGAATGAAGAATGGTGAAAAGTGCGAGGAAGGTAGATGCCAAAGACTTACACAAGAAG